ACATCCTGTGTCTTTGTTCCCTTCCACTGCTCCAAACCCCACTCTCTGCAAAGCACATAAGAGAACTGGATTGTCTAAACTTTAGCCAGCCCATTGTTCTAAGGTGCTCTCATTTGAATGGGAACTGTTTTAAGTTAACAACTCTCTATTGTCCTTGACGTGGGAGAAATGGTAGCAGATGGCTGATTCCATGTTCATGGAGGCATTTAATGATGCAACAATTTCATAAAATCAACTAGAATTTGTAAGTTTCATATAGACAGATTTCCCAAATTGTCACAGCAGTTATTTAAAAAAAAAACACCCTTTACCTTCACAATTCTTTGAAGTTGAATTATATGTGTAGCCTTCCGCACATTCACATTTATATTTGCCAGGGTTGTTCTTGCACTGTGCTGTCCCACAGATGTTTGGATGTATCATACATTCATCCCAGTCTACAAATTCAGAAGTGTTACTGAGAATAAAGTTTTTCTCATGACATTTTACCCTGCCTCAAGATTGTAAGGGAAAAGGCTCACAATTCTGGCAGATCTTGCTGGGTTTGGCATAGTCTCCTTTGTAAGGGAGACTTCCAGAGGATTTTGCAAGACATTTTACCTTGCCCCCAAGTGAAGTCTCCTTCTGCATACCTTGATACTCTCTCTGTAGGCTGTACTATGGATCCAAGGAAAAGGGACAAGTGTGTCAGAGGTGGAAGGGGAAAAAATAGCACAAATGTGTTTACTATAATGCTCTGTTCATCATCATTCCTGATTGACAGCTAGATTGTGCAGCTGTTACTCATATTGGTAAAGCCCTCATTAATGGCAGGTAACCTCTCTGGCATCAAGACTACTTGTGTGAATAAGGGCTCACCAACATGAGCCGGGGGTGTGTGTGTGTGCACAATCTAGCTCTAAAGGATTAAAAGTATCTGAACAGGCTCTGTTCAACAAATTTGTGAGCCTGCATTTGTCAGACTGCAGTATTGCAATGGGATTATATAGGAATCATGGTGTCATTGATTATTTGTGTCCACAAAAGTACATGCACTAAACAGAAGTCCAGTGAAAGCCAGCCTGAAGGTCTGTCCCTTTATATCCTCTGATGATGGTATCCATACCATTTAGTGCAGTTCAACAGAAAAATTTTGAATAGTAAAGAAATGCAATACTAGGAATGAGGTAAGCTATTTTCTTGCCAAAATGCCATCACAATTTTCTGCTAACTATATTAACACATGGCCTTTACCTGGAATTTTATTCCAAAATAAAGACTTAAATCTATAGTCAATGAAAAGGCCTTTGGGCAGGGCCGGTGCAACCCATTAGGCGACCTAGGCGGTCGCCTAGGGTGCTAGCATTTGGGGGGGCGGCATTTCGGGTCATTCGGCGGCGACCGGATCTTCAGCCGCCCCGGTTGGCGGTGGCATTTAGGCAGAGGGAGCTGGGGCGGGGGGCGCGGGGAGGGCCACCTGCAGCAAGTGGGGGGGGGGCACGTAGGGGAACTGCTCACCTCTGCTCCGCCTCCTCCCCTGAGCACGCCGCCCCGCTCTGCTTCTCTCCCTCCCAGGCTTTGCGGCGCCAAACAGCTGATTGGCGCTGCAAGCCTAGGAGGCGGGAGAAGCGGAGCGGCGACGGCGTGCTCGGGGAGGAGGCGGAGCAGAGGTGAGCTGGGGCGGGGCGCATGGCTCCCCAGGCCGGGGGAAGCTGCCGCAGGGGGAGGGGGGCTCAGGGCAGGTGGGGGGTGGGGAGCTGCCATGGGGGGGCACCTTTGAAGTTTCGCCTAGGGCACGAAACATCCTTGCACCCTTCCTGCCTTTGGGCTGCACCCTGAAAGTAATTATAGTGATGCAATGCAGCACAAGCCTTTCCCTATATTAAGAGTAGGATGACTAGATAGCCAGTGTGAAAAATCAGGACAGGAGTGGGAGTAATAGGCACCTATATAAGACAAAGCCCCAAACATGAGGACTGTCCCTATAAAATCTGGACATCCTAATAAAGCGCATCCTCAGAATTCATTAATATTTTCATTTCAAGTGAAGAAAACCAAAACTCAGAGAGTGAAATCCAATCAAAGCTACAGATTTTCATGGACTGTGTTTACAGCTAAGAAGGTTAACTGCCCTTCGCATTCTAGAAACTTGACTTGGGCTATGAAATTGGTTTAAGTCTGGGGTTTGTGACCCAAGCCCAGGTTTCATTAATTAACTAGCTTGGGTTCATGTAAAAAGGCTTACACAACCCTAGAAGTGAACTAAGTTGGGCATATCAATGGGAATCAAATATACATTAGATGGCAGAATTTGGCTTGAAATAGGAGGGGAAAATTTAAAGGTACAGTAGCTATAGTTCAGCCAAAATTCTTTAATTGGTAGTATCCAAACAGAATTTCTTTTCATACAATGATGTTTTAAGTGTCCTTTCTTACCTTTGCAGTCCTGTTTATTTGGAAGTATATAGTATCCATTGTCACAGGAACAGTGGTAGCTTCCAGGAACATTAGTACAGCTGTGGCTACAACCTCCATTTTTATTTGCTGGGTCTTCGCATTCATTTATATCTAGAAGGTGTAACAGAATATATCCGTGTTCACACCCATACACTATTGTAGTAACTTCTGTACAAGTCATGTCTTGTGAAGTATCATTTAAAAACTCATACTTTGCTGATCAGTAATATCATGGCAGTAGCATTATATGTGAAGTTATAAACTGAAATCATGACTAAAAATATATTTTCCAGATAAATTTGGGGAGTGGTCAAATCAGTCCCTCTGAGACAAAAGGCAAGCTGATGCCTCAGCCAGGTGTATACAAGGCTGATGGACAATTACCAGCAAAGTGGCCATTCTTTGGCAGGAAAAAGGGCAGGGGCAAAAATTTTCATCTTAGCAAAGAAACAGCATGGAGTTTCCTTCGACACAGGTGAGAGAACTTTGCTTTGAATCTAATATAGTTTGTTAAGTTAGTCACCAGTAGCATTTTATCTTTATTTTTCTTGTAAACATGTCTGACTTTTATCTTTCATTACTTGTACTCACTTAAGATCTCTCTCTCTTTGTAGTTAATAAACTTGTTTTATTCTTTTATCTAATCCAGTGTGTTCAAATTGAATTGTCTGGGTAATTTCATTTGGGGTAAAAAGTTGTGCATGTAATTCCCTTAAAGGAATAATGGACTCAATGTATCTGTACTATCCAGGAGAGGGCTGGGCAGTACAGGACATATGTTTCTGAGCGGAAATGTGAGATTGGGAGTGTGTTGGGATCACCCTGTGGTAATCTTTAAGACTGATAAGCGCCAATTTGTAGCTGGCTGGCTGCAGCACATACAGACATAGCTGGGGGCAGTTTGTGAGCAGTCCAGGTTAGAGGCTACAGCCGCAAGGCATTGTGAAGGTCATCCCCATCCCCGGGTTACAGACCTGGGGTGACACAGCAACTCATTGGTCTGGATTGTGGCCTGGTATGTCACAGAAGGGGAGGAGGGGAGCCCAAGAAATCTTAATCTAAGAGAGGCTATTTGCTGCCTCATTTATCTATTTAAAGATATGGTATTGTTAATAATGCTCTAATTTCAGCCATAGTAACAGATACTACCATCATAGTCACAATATGGACTGTACCTTCTTCACATCTCTCTCCTTGCCAGCCTGGTTTACAGACACAAGTGTATCTGGCTTGCCCATCGATGCATTCCGTATATCCATCTTCATTGCATGGCAGAGGGCTACATTGGTTTGAAATTTCTGTGTGTGCAGAGGGGAAAAGATCAGGGGGGAAAATGTTTATTTTTACGCTCCGCCTTTCCATAATCTTGTTTTCTTCCTCCTTTCCTCTGTTAGTCACCATTCACAAGAAGGAAAAAGCTTGCCACACAAGAAAAATCATCCACATAGCACATGTCCTTCTATTAATTCTGCCCAGAGGTAAGTTACCTCAAAAGTTATAACATACTTTGTCACCTTTGGCAGCTAGTCCAAAGACAACATTACCAGTTATGGATCAGCAACATTTTCCCCCCCACCAAGAGAAGACGATTATAAAATGAATGGCTCATGGGAATTGGTATACAGTGCTTGTTACTACTGGGTGCAGTCTGGCCCAGGTTGGTAATAGCAGCAAGCCACTACCAAACGATGGCTCTTCAGTGGCATAGGTAAATTAGGGTTACCATACGTCCGGATTTTCCCGGACATGTCCGGCTTTTGGGGGTTCAAATCCCCCGTCCGGGGGGAAATCCCCAAAAGCCGGGCATGTCCGGGAAAATCGGGAGGTC